TTTGATCATCTCCATCTGTCCTATGGTTTTCAATTCTTGTCACATCATCCTAAACAAAATATCTATCGTCCTGGACGATATGATAATTTCTGTTCAAAATTCTATTTGCTGAACTTTTCTGAGCCTTCTGTAACTCATCGTCTCGGATGATACATTATCGTCCTGGACGGTCCGATCGAACTCTGTTACAATCCTCTTGATTGTCCTGGCCGATATAATTTTCATCCTTGCCGATGCATTTATGGTCATCGTCCTGACCGATACACTAGATCGTCCCGGACGATCCACGTGTCAGTACGTTTAAATCCTTAAAATCAGCCTCGGATGATTCATTATTGGACAATTGTCCTGGCCGATCCACTGTTCGTCCTGGATGATACACGTGGCACAGATTTAAAATGTTTTAACTTTGGCCAGTATGATCAATTATTATGCATTGTCCTGGAGGATACACCTAATCTGCCCGGACGATCTGCTTTTTCAACAATCGTCTGGCTTGACTCCTTAGGACGATCGCTTGTGTCTAATCGTCCTGGAAAATATCTGATCGGCCCAGCCGATCGGACCTCCTTTTTGACCAATCGGCCTGTACGTAATAATTGAACCAAATCGTCCTGGACGATTTTGCGATCATCCTGGACGATGTGGCTGTTTCTTTAAATTTAGGCCATTCCAGCCATGGTTTTCACCTCAAAGCTTCTTCTTATCTCATTTTTACTTTCTGATTTCTTATTATGACTGGTGGAAAGTGAGTCCGACAGGCTTCTGGAAGTTTCTCGAGGGCCACTCTGGACCCTCAATTCAAGTAAGTAGAGGATCAAGCAGCTTACCGTCGGTACAAGAAATGCAGCATCACTCTCTCCAGGATAATCAATCCTGCCTACCTTTCATATCCGGTACTAGATCTCTTTGCTCACACTTCTCTCTGCTTCATTCTTACTCTAGAAGTCCCTTTTGCCTCTGAACTTCTTTTTGAATTTTTTGCAAATCTCCGAATAAATGCTGCCTACACTACCCTAACCTCCTATGTGAATCGACACCCAGTCGAGATCACATATCAAGACTGTGCTGAACTTCTGCAACTATCCACCATCGGGGATAGGCTGCATTTAACTATCTTTGATCTTGACTTTAACTGGTCCACTGCAAATCATTTTCTACTCCAAACCAACTCTCCCTTTCATGTTGGAGAGACTAGCTCTTTAGTCAAAGATGCTAGGACAATCCAACATGTCCTTCGCACTTCCATAATTCCAAAACCTGGGGACCGAATCCACATCACCCCATTACTTTCTCTTACCACCTTTTACATCATGGCTCATAGAGATTTTAATGCTACTGATATAATCTTTTGATACATTGATCATTTAACTACAATCCGTGATTTGGGTCATAAGAGGAAACCCAATCTGGCTTTGGGACACATCATCTCATATGTTCTTGAAACCAAATACAATCTTCAATATAATGCTCACCCCAACCATTCGCCTCCCTGCCACTCAAATAATTCATTAAATGTCCTTCACAGTACTCATCTCCACCCAGGAGATGGGAAACCTCAGGGGGCCGAGGAGGAGGAGGCTCTCGCTCCCGTTCCTGGTCCTGTTCCTCTTCACCATCACTCATAGTTTGACCAGTTAGTGGAGATATTTGATCATTGGGAGACCCATTTTGACGCTTACGTTGCTGCATAGGAGCAACAACATTCTGAGAACATGACACGCTACGAGCAGCATCGCACAGAGGACTTAGCCCGTTTTGACAGCTATATTACTCACCAGCAGCAGCAGCACGATCAAGATATAGCATGGTTCAATGCTCAATTTACTACGCTAGCTAGCTACTTTCAACAAGCTCCACCACCTCCACCTCCATCTGATGATTAGGATCTCTCGTTTCTGTAGTTTTAGTTTCTATTTTCTGTGGATTGTTTTCTTTTTATGTATTATGTTTTTAGTTGCTTTAGTTTGTGTTTTTAGTTTTCTCCTCCTTTTTGAGATGTTAAAAGGGGGAGTAGATGTTTGTACTTGCTCTTGTAGTATGTTTGTATTTGTTATGTTCGAAAATTTGAAAGCTTGTTTAGTTTTGCATTACTATTTTAGAATTGATTATCGATATGTTTGCCATCATCAAAAAGGGGGAGACTGTTACAAACATATTTTTTGGATTATGATTTTGATGATAGCAAATAAATCTTGTTTCACAATGACTGCCTTTTTTATACTGACTTTTTAGCACTCAAAGATCTGACGGAAATAAGAATCAGCTCAAGACTAGGTAGATTATGATTGAGTCAGTCTATAATTTTCCTTTTTATTTTTTGAGTCAATTATAATTGCTTGAAGTGACTGATGTTAAGTAACCCTACACACACACACACTTGAGAAATTTAGAACTTATGTTTTTACTCACATCATCCCGGATGATATTTTATATCGTCCTTGACGATCGAGTTCAAAATACAAGATCTAATCAGGATTTCTTAGTTAAGGCAGTCATAATTAACTGATCGGCCTGGACGATACCTGTATCGCCCAGGATGATATGCTCAATACAGAAAGAAATTGCCGCCATAATCAATTTAGGTATTCTGTATTTTTGGAAATCGGCCAGGACGATCATGTGATCGGCCTGGATGATATTACACAATTATGCCTAAATTGATCCAGGAATCAAAAAAGTAATTAAGGATATTTGATACGATCACATCGCTCTGGACGATTGTAGGTACGGCTAGGACGATCTATTCAAAAACCTTAGTTGCTTCTGGACGATAAATATCGACCAGCTCAAATTCAGGACGATGCTCTTGATAATTTTCCTCTAATTTGAACTTATCAGCCAGGACGATCATGTGATCGGCCGGGATGATCAAGCAAACATTCAATCGTCCAGTTTGCATTCAGGGTAATGCTCTGTCCGATCTTATGAGATTTGTACTGATCGGTCAGGACGATTTCCATATCATCCTGGACGATAAAGTCGATAACTTGCAATTGATGAGCCCCTTTGAAGCTCTTCTATTTAAGAGTTCTTGTTTAATATTTTTGAACATCCTTGGCTGCTGTCTTGACCTGAGAAAACCTAAAGGAGAGAGAGAGAGAGGATTTTGTGAGGGAGAGCTTGTGAGGGGATTCACAAGGGTTGCTCCAAGCATTGTTCCACTTCTTCTTCCCTAGAGTCTCTTGTCCTTGGAAGGGTTGGAAGAGGTAAGTTTCAGCAAGTGATCGTGGTTCTCTGCCTGCTTTAGGAGGAAGCAAAAGGAGTTGGGTTTTCTGCCTTGCCGGGTGTGGCAAAAAGGAGGTGTTTTTGTGAGGGCTTCTTCGCCTTGCTATGGGGGATAAAGGAGGTTATGTTGGTAGTGCAATACTCGGAGGGCACCTCCGGGGAGTGGACGTAGGTTGAGTTGACCGAACCACTATAAACCCTTGTGTTCTTGTTTTTACTGCTTCCGCATTTATTTTCTTCCGCGCTTATTTTTGTGGTGATTTGGTTTGTGATAATCATTTTTTTTTGCTTAAAGAAAATTTTAAAATAGCAATTCACCCCCCTCTTGGTTAGCCTTGGGCCAGTTCTATAGGGCTTAACATTCCTAACGAACTTTCATAAATTTGGACTAAAATTTGGAATAAAATTTGGAGATAAAAAACTCTTTGCCTAGAGATTTTAGATTTTTTAAAAACCAACAAAAGGAATTGATTATAGGTGAAACCAAGATTTTCAGAACCGGACCGGACAATGAACCGGTGGAAGGAGAGGTTCACGGTTCGACCGGTTCGACCGGTCGAACCGGGGTCGAACCGGATGACGTAATAAATCATAATATTATTTAAAAAATAAAATAAAAATCAATTTTTCCTGTAATTCATTCATTCAACATTTTATTTTCATAGTTCCTAATTAAAATAACATAAACATGACATCAATTAAGTTTATGAAACATAAACAAATAGCATATACTATAAGTGTCTCTTCAAATAAGTCAATAAAACATAAACAAATGCATAACTTTTGTCATCACACAAAATGTTCATAATTTCATATGAAGTCAAGCTTCAAAATTCAAACATAAATATCAAAATAAATCTAGAAGTCGTCTCCTAGATTTGAAGCATCAAAAGTTATATCCATAAATCCTTGTTCATCAAAACATTCCCCTCCAAAATATCATATCTTTCATTGCAGAATTATTTTCATGTCAGTTTCGAACATCCATCTAGGACTCACATCTGCATTTTAGAATATAAAACTATTATATATATATTAAACATCTTTTTTCAAATGATATAACTTAAACTAATATATGGAACTTACTTTGGGTTTTTAGTAGAATAGTATTAAATTCTCAGTAACAGGAATAACATCTTCTGCATATATTTCATTCTCTAAATTCTCCAGAATAAGCTCTGAACAACGGTTTTCATCAGAACACCCAAAAATCCACCATCTCTATGATGTATATATCCAAGGATTGTAGTTTCTTTTTTTTGTTTGAAATCTAAATATAATTAAATGATCATTAAGCCATACATCATACAAAATGATCAAATGACATATAAATATAAATTAAAAGTTATATATTCATACCTATGCCTTAAATTGAGTGTTGAATACCGAACAAATCTAGATCATTAGTCTTTGATTGCTCTATATGATTTCTTCTCTGGTATGATTTGTTCAAATACCTCCAATTTCATTCACATCAAGGAGAAAAGTTTTGGCTAGAATCTTCTTAACACCAATTTTTGCAGATTGTGGTGCACTTGAGCCAAACATTTTCCACCATTCATCTAAAAAAAGATTAACATTAAGTTAATTAATAATTTGATTATCATGAAAGAGTAAATGCATTCTAAACAATTTTATTTCACTTACCATGTGCATTCTTTTGGCCATCGTTAAAGCAATTGGTTTGCCAAAGCTTTCCAATTAATCTCACGCGAAAAAAGCCTAAACTTCATTCATTGTGCTAAAGAGTTAGATTTGTAGGGCAATATCTTCTATTCCCAAATCATTTCAACTAAACCTTGCATCACTTCAGATTTCATGCAAAAATTCTCTTTATCATATTGAAAATGTGGATTTAGAAAGTAAGCTGCACAATGTATGCCTTGTCTTAGTTGACGATCCCATCTCCTCTTTATAATGCTTGTGTAAGGTTTGTACAACCTTTTGAAATTTTTAAACATTAACTTGATTGCTTTCCTTGCTCTGTACATTCCATCATAAAGAAATCCCATAGATGGTTTTTCATCAGAATCCACAATTCTCAATAATCGAATTAAAGGCCCAGTCAATTTGGAACTTACCAAACAGTCATTCCAAAATTTTGTATCCAAAATGATCGATGAGACTTCTTGCCCTTTTACTGTTTTGGAGAGCTTTGAATCAAAGAAAGCTTTGCTTGTTATGAAAGCCTGCAAATCAAGCTTGTGTTCATATAAGCTTTTCAAAGTTATGAAAGTTGTAGCAAATCTAGTAGCTCCGGGCCTTATAATTTCTTTCCAACTTTCTCTTTTTCTTAGCCAAGCTAGAATAAAGACATGATTGTAGACAAAAACTGTAACTTTTGAAGCTCTTTTCGCAAGATCTTTAATATGATTCATGTTCCCAAAATCTCTAAGAATAAGATTTAAACAATGAGCAGAACATGGAGACCAACAAATGTTACCAAACCTTTCATGCAGTAATTCCCCTGCCTTTTTATAATTTGCAGCATTATCTGTTACAAGTTGTACAATATTTTCTGGCCCAACCCATTCAACAACTTCGCAAAATAATGAACATAATGTTTTGACATCCTTAGTGATATCAGAAGCATCCACAGATTTCAAGAATGAAATGCCCCTTGGACAATAAACAAGAAAATTAATCAAAGTTCTATTCCTGTTATCTGTCCATCCATCTGCCATGAGTGTGCAACCAATTTCTTTCCAAGATCTTCTATATGAATCTATCAATAGCTTGCATTCCTCTTTACAATCTTGCAGAATATTAACCCTCAACTTATGATAGGATGGCAACTTATAACCAGGGCCAATTGCAGCTATCCCATCAACAACTTTCTGTGCAAAAGCAGAATTTATGGCATTAAATGGAATGCAACTGTCGTAAAACCATCTCCCAACTGCCAAATCAGCACGGTGTATGGCTTCTTTGGATGCCATTACACTTTTCAATAATGGTTGAGATCCAGGTTTAGTTCTTGGTGCAAAAAGTTATCTATGTCATCTTTCTTTCTCTTCCCTTTATGAAGTCCTTCATGATGTGCATCAGAGGCTTGTGACTTGGGAAGTGATGAAGAGCCCATTTCCTCATCTATATGTTCATCAACAAAAACTGTTGTGTTTTGCTCTAACTCCTCCTGGGTTTGTTGTTTTTTCTTGCCTATTTCTCTTAGATTCTCTTGCATCTGATGACGAATGTCATGTGGAACTTTTTTGCACGAAGCTATGTTACCTCTTATCCCTGCTAGATGCTGTTTTATCCTATTAATTCCTCCACCTTTGTATATAATCCCACAATGTAGACATCTATATTGTTTTTTCCCATCTGTATCTTTACTTTCACTACAATGACCCCAAGCAATATCGATCTTTTCACGCACATTATAAGATGAAACAGTTGGTTGATTCATTCTGAATTTACAACAAAATATTTAAGATTGCAACAAGCAATATATAGAATTGGCATATTTCTATGAGACGAAACAGTTGGTTGCGAAGAATATTTAGAATAAGAATCAAAATACTCCTTCTGAAATTTATAAATATAACTTAACTTCTAAGTTCTAACTCAATTGGCATATTTCTAATTTCTCTCTACAATGAAAGAGCACTTGTTTAATACTTTCATCTCTAAATCCAACTATCATAACACCGCAATAGCTACTTCAAAGTTCAAATATTGATAATATCACTTATCAATTATCATGCAAAGAACAGAAAGGTGGAGGATTCTGATTTCTGGTATGATTCATGCAGAGCAATTAAACTTTGGTAAGCTGAAAAGTTCACTCAAAGCTGTGATATTGGTAAGAGAAAAGAACTTCAAATGAGAGATTAAAAGAATATTGGTATAAAAGAAAATTCAGGTCTAGAAGCAGTAGAGCTTGTGCAAGAGAAATAATGACTGAAAACCAGATAAGCCCCAAGAAACGAACCAGGCCTTCATGGTGGCTGGCCATAAAGAGGATGGAACAGAATTTTAAAGAACAAATAGGACACTATTTTTAGTAATCAATTACTGCAATAAGAGCCAATAATACTTCTTCAGGCTCCAATGGGTTTGGCTAACAAGCTTCTGCCATGACTAAAACTTCACAAAGTTAAAAATAGTAAAGTTCCAAATACAAGATGATAGTACTTCTTCAGATCACTCTTGTTGGAATTTGTGATTGTTGATCCATCTAATGCTCCATTTTGGCATTTTCCACTCAATAATGATTATGAAAGCAAAAAAAAATTTTGGACTTTGGAGAATAAATGCAAGCTTAAATGCATAAAAAATAACCCAAATTTTTTTTTTTTAAGAACCTGCGGTCTGCGGCTGGGCGGGGCTGTGCTCGACTGCACGGGTAGGAGGCCAAACGAGAGTCTCGTTCGCGGCAGAAGCTCCGTCGGGATTGTCCGAGGCGGCTGGGAGGTCGGAAGCGGAATCTCCGTCGGGATCGTATGAGGCAGGCGTCTCCGCGTCTCGTTCCGTGACTTTCTCCCTTCCCGACTTCTTCGTTCGCGACTTCGTGTATGCTAGGGTATATGAGTTGAGTAGCGACACTTATACCAAGTACTGATACAAAAAATTTTAAGCCGTTGGATCGCAGATCAAGGGATCAAATTTCATCATTAACGAACCGGCCGGTTATTTCATAACCCCCTGGTTCGGCGGTTCGGCGGTTCAACCGGAATTTAAACCGGTTTTTGTCCGGTTCTTTAATCAGCCGGTTCTTCCTTCTCCCCGGACCGCCCGCCGGACCGGTTCGCGGTTGAACCGGTCGAACCGGCTGGTCCGGTCCGGTTCTGAAAACCTTGGGTGAAACTAGTGGGGGTGCAAGGACTAGGCGTGGACTAAACAAAGAAGTCAATCATTCAGCCTTTATTTCAACCATAGAACCCATCAATATTGATCAAGCACTTTCAGATGAATTTTGGATTTTGGCTATGCAAGAAAGGTTAAATCAATTTGTAAGAAATAAATTTTGGGAACTAACTACAAGGCCAAAGGATCAAAGTGGGTATTCAAAAATAAAATGAATGACTCAGGAGTAGTCATTAGAAACAATGCTAGATCAGTATCTAAGGGGTATAATTAAATTGAAGGGATATATTTTAAGGAGACTTTTGCCCCTGTAGCTAGACTTGAAGCAATTAGGGTTTTTTTTAGCCTTTGCATGTTTTAGAGGATTTTAATTGTACCAAATGGATGTAAAAAGTGCCTTTTTAAATGAGATAATTCAAGAAAATATTTTTTATAGAACAACCTCTAAGTTTTAAAAATTCTAAACACCCAAATCATATTTTCAAACTAAAAAAGACATTATATGGATTGAAACAGGCACCTAGGGCTTGGTATAAGAGATTGAGCTCCTTCCTACTTGAAAGATCATTTGAAAAAGGAAGTGTGGATACAACTCTTTTTTTGAAGAAAATTAGAAAGGATATACTCATTGTACAAATTTATATTGATGACATCATCTTTGAATCTTCAAATAAAAATTTTTGTGATGATTTTTCTAACACAATGAGTAGTGAATTTGAGATGAGTCTAATGGGAGATTTAAGTTACTTTCTAGGATTTAGCATTAAGTAAGTTAAGGAGGGTACATTTCTTAGTCAGTCAAAATATGTTAAGAATATCCTCAAAAAGTATGAAATGGACAATGCTAAATCTGTTAGTACACCTATGAGTTCCTTAGTTCAGTTGGATAAGGACCCTAAGGAAAAATCTGTTGATCAAAAGAAATTTAGAGGGATAATTAGATCTTTTCTTTACTTGACAGCTAGACAGCCCGATATTATGTTTAGTGTTTATTTGTGTGCTAGATTTCAATCAGATTCAAAAGAATCACATTTGACAGCAGCAAAAAGGATTTTAAGATATTATTAGAAACTCAGAACTTATGAATTTGGTATCGTAAATTTAGCTCTTCATTTGAAATAATTGGTTATTCAGATTCTAACTTTGTAGGTTGTAGGGTAGATAGAAAGAGCACTTCTAGAACATGTAAGTTTATTAGAAATTCTTTAGTCTTTTGGTCCAGTAGAAAACAAAATTCAGTATCCCTATCTACTGCTGAAGCTGAATACATTGCATTAGGAAGTTGTGTGGCACAAGTACTTTGGTTGAAACAACAGTTGATTGATTTAGGATTAACTATAAGCACTATTCCCATTTATTGTGATAATACTAGTGTTATTGCATTTCTAAAAATCATATTAAACATTTAAGATTCAAACATATAGGCATCATGTATTATTTCATAAGGGATAATGTATCCAAAGGAGAAATTAAACTAATTCATGTTTCTACAGAAAATCAACTTGCAGATATTTTAATAAAACCACTAGCCTTTGATACTTTCAGTACATTAAGAATAAGGCTTGGTGTGATCGATTTGAATGCTTAATTAAAGTGATTCTGCAACATTGATGTATGTTTTTCTAGTTAGTGTTTTTTGTGTGTATTTTTGATTTTGTGACTTTCTGTGTTTTCTATTGTTGTTTATTATGTTTGTGTGTGTTTAATTTTGAGAATTATTATCCATGTTGTTTTGTGTTTTCTCACATCTAGATTTTTGAATGCATGCTTGAAAATTGAGTGAGAATCGTCCAGGATGAAAGTCATTTCGTACAGGATTAATTGTGTAGTGTTTTAACTGTCAGATTTGATCGGTTTGCATATAGTTTTTCAGTTTTCATTTTACTGTTCTTCTGTACAATCATGACGATCGTCCAGACGATGTGTATTTAATCGTATGTACTCGTGAAGGCAGTTATACGGATAAAATCAAATTAATTATCCATGATCGTACGTACAAACCTTTGGTTCATCCATACAAACACGTATCATTTCAAAGTGGGGGACGATTTAAACTGCCATAAAAACGATCTTAAATGTCGGATCATCCAGGATAATCACCTATTTGTATGCACGATCATTTGGTCAAAAGTCTGTATGAAAGGAAACATCGTAACTTGTGTGATTACGAAAAGCCGTTTCATTTTTGGACTCATTCGTTCGTCCATACGAAATTACGTTCGTACGTACGAACTCAAATTCGTACGGGACGAAATTAATTTTATATATACAAAAACTCATTTTTTCTTTAAATTAAAAGCTTTTGAACTCACATGTCATCACTTCAAACATCTCTTTCAAACCCCTATTCAACTAGATCTTCTTCATGGCTAGCTCTAGCAAAAGACAAAAGGTACTAGCTAAGGGACCCCCCAAAAACTCTAATGAAAACTTCCTGTCTAAGGCCAATGAGGAGTCCTTCCATAGGTTTGCTTTAGCCAAAATCACTCCATTTAGAGTCCTTATACAAGATCAAATCAATTTTAAGGTAATGAATTTATTTTCTTCCACTCAATTTGGCTTTATTCTCAGTCTTGTCCACTTGTATAATAAGGAGACATTTCACTACTTTCTTGTGAATATGTCTTTTAACTCTGATCATTCTGAGATTAGATCCCATGTGTTTAAGAAGAAAGTAGAAATTACTAAAGAGGATATGTGAATCTTTTTAAACTTAAGGACTCAAGGGATTAGAGCCCATACCTTGACCACTACTTTTGATTTTGACTGGTCTGAAATAAATAATGTCCTTAGAGGAATTAGAGTAGTAAGTCACTTGCCTAAGGTAGCCACTCTAAATTAGAATGCCCGAGTCATCCAACATGTTCTTTGTACCTCTATTATACTTAAAGTTGGTGATCGGGTAAATATTACTCCACTTCTTTCTACTGTGACTTATCTAATCATGACTAGCCAACCTATAGATGAAGCCCAACTACTCATTGATTACATTTATGGACTTTTTGAGATTGGCCATGTCTCCCACAAGAGAAAGAAAAATATTTCCTTAGGACATCTTGTGAATCACATTTTGGAGAAGAAATATGATCTAGTTCATCCAGTTCAAGATTTCAAAGAACCTCTCTATTTC